CAACTGTGTACAACAACAGCATCTGACAACTGTGTAAAACAACAGCATCTGATAACTGTACAACACCACCATCTGACAACTGTGTACAACAGCAGCATCTGGCAACTGTGTACAACAGCAGCATCTGACAACTGTGGACAACAGCATCTGACAACTGTGTACAACAACAGCATCTCACAGCTGTGTACAGCAGCATCTGACAACTGTGTACAACAGCAGCATCTGACAACTGTGTACAATAACAGCATCTCACAGCTGTGTACAACAGCAGCATCTGACAACTGTGTACAACAGCATCTGACAACTGTGTACAACAACAGCATCTGACAACTGTGTACAACAACATCATCTCACAGCTGTGTACAACAGCATCTGACAACTGTGTACAACAGCATCTGGCAACTGTACAACAACAGCATCTGATAACTGTGTACAGCAGCATCTGAAAACTGGGTACAACAGCATGTGCATACACTTCCATCAACAATGTATGTCTGAATGTTCCCAGTTTAGTAGTCAAGGAGTAGTATTCACAGCAAGTCAAGAAACACATGATCATCTGTGCAGGCAGTGATTATATATACCATGTGTAAACAGACAGTGCAAAACACTTGTCAACGTCTTCAATAACATACACTCAAAGGTAAAATCGAAGACCAGGATGTGCCAATATTGATTTGTTTTACAACAGCTCAACCACCCACCAGCTGCATGGCATAATGACATCTTCTACAGCTCCACTTCCACAGCTGTCAGTCATAACTAGCCCTTGTCCTCATGACCTTCACCTAATTGTGTTTGATCAATGAGACAATGTGCAGTCCAGTGCACATACTGGTTGCAGGCAGTGAGTCATGATCTTGGGTTGTAGATGCACCTTTTGGAAGTTGTTTTTTTCAAAAGCTTTGGTCAGTGGTCAAAATTGCAAATAAATATAAAATTAGACACTTCAGTTTATTGTTTTCGTGAAAATATTGGTCCACAGGATGAGAACAAAAATAATTCAAATTCTCTTTTTACTTTTGGCATTTTTTAAAAATGTGACAGGAATATTTTTAATAGCGCTGAAATGGGAACAAAGTTACCTACTGTCTGGAGTACTGGTGAAGATATAAATAGTATTTTGCAAACAATTATGGGTTATGTACTACTTGTATCTGTGAAATTGTTTTGTCTTTTTTAATTCATGGACTTCATTATCAGGTTTGGCGTTGATATAAAAGGACTTAGACAGGATTTCGAAATTAACAAATTTCATATTCCCAATATTCAAATACCTCAGATCTGCACACCAGTTAATAAAATCTAAAATGCCATAATTATCAAAACCAAAGAAATGAGATTCTTTGCATCTGTTTGGCAACAGTCTGCTTAAAACAGTATTCCAGTTATATCACGGCATGTCAGCTTAATGTGGGAAGAAAGCCCAAAGTGATGCAGGTCTTAGACAGTTACCGCTTTAGTGAAACCCTCAAGCTTAGTGGTGCTGACAAACCAAGATATATAATCAGGGCGAATCTGGGATTCAAACCCAGGATTCTGAAGCTCCTTAGGGATACAGCTCTGCACAATGAATAAGACGACTGGCCACCCGTGACCTCAGCTAGGCCAAAAAGTAAATGTTATATATCCTTTCAGTCAACACAATGAGGTTGGACTCTAATTTCCTGACCTTAACAAATCAATGTCACAAAGACACCATTGTTTAATTTTCAAACACTCAACACAAAGCCGACCGAAATGTTTTGTGTTTTATCTTAAAGCAAACAATTCTTAACTTGACATATCGAGAAACACACCTACAGTGTACGCAAAGACAGTTTGGGACACACAATCCGGATATGGATTCAGTAAGCATTAATCATGATATACTACTTCAATAACATTGTGATCAATACTACCTTCGAAAACATGGAATCAATATTCAGTTAATGCTACGCACAGTTAACAAAGCTAAACAGTGGACATTTGCAGTAGCTATCATTTCATCTGGTAATAAACAGAATCGAAGACATTAATCACAAGAATCTTGTACCAAGACCAGAAGGAACTAGACTAAAGCAGTATGAAGTCCATTCTCAAATATCTTAGACAATGAAAGACTTGAGCATAAACTGACAAATTGCCATTTAGATTCAGCAAATAGGAGACATTTTGGTTCAGTTACCATGGTAACTTGAAAGATATATTTGCTAGAAATAAAATATCATGAGAATAAGTTTCACTCCATTACCTACCTATTAGTTTAACTCATGGAGGCTGGTATTAGTGGCAAGGCATTGTAATTGTTTTGCCAACTGAAAGTTCTAACTTCAAAGTATGTTTTTTTGACTGATGGCAAAAACAAGTAACAAATCAATAACAACAAACTGTCGATTGCAATGATGTTTATTTTCTGTGCTTGGCAATACGCGCATAGCAAAAATTGTTCTTCAAGGAGCGTTCGAAATAAGTGCTTGCCAGTAGGGCCGTGGTAGGGAGATTTGTTGTCAGGCTTGTAGTTTCAAAGTTGTGTGGGTCATGGCCTTCAGTTAGTTTACGTGTCTATCAGGTCTATGTATTTGTCACAAGGAGCTGCAGGGTTGTTTCTAAAATGAGGACCTGAAGATGTTAAGTCAGGGCCTGCAGCTTCTAAAGTCTGTGGGTCCTGATGGCAGCCTGGCAATTGTTTTTATTTCAAACACTGTCTACAGGGTGAATTAATTGGTGGCAACACTTCTGACAACAGACGTTACAATGACAGATAATTATAGATAACTCTAGTTTATTTCATCAAGGTAAAAGCAAATTCATATTTTTTTTTTATTTTCTAAGAAAATCAGATATGATGCATGTTGGGAAAATCGTCACTCAGCTGGAGATCACTCATAATTGAAATGAATGAATGAATGAATGAATGAATGAATGAATGAATGAATGAATGAATTACATCCGTACATATGGTTATAAGGTTGTCAGTGTTAATTAATCATATCTCAAAATTCTATATTATAATACAATCAAATACAGGATTTTTGAATATTTTAATTTAGTTAAAAAATTCAGAGCAGTCTCATTGATAACAAATATAAATCAATCTGGTTGGTTTTCAAGACAAAAACAAGGAAAGTGCATCATGTACACATTGCATGAAATCTCTATTTAATTTAACAATTCAACAAGTTCAAGTGGAAATTGGACACAAAATATTTCCAAGGATATTACCAATCGTTTTAAAATGATTATTTCAATATCCTAATTAGGGGACTATTTGTCTGAGTTCCAAGAATGACTCTACAGGTAATATCTCATTAACATTAGAATGACCTTTTCCTGTGTACTTGGGTGCACTCACCTTTCATTCCTTTCAATTGATTGCTTTACTTATTTTGCTGGCTGCCATTGCATCCAAGTTGATCCACATAAATGGACAATGGACCCTTCAGATTCAGATTTAATTTAGATCGTGAAGTAGTTTTCAAACCAGTCCTCACCTTTATACAAGTATTTGATCTGTTAGGTATACATTGGTGATTCCATTTCAAAATAATTGATTTGATTCAAAAATTTATTTTCTGAGGCTGTTGCCATGTTTATATTATAATCAACCTTGGTGGAGGTGATTAAACTGACTGAACCATACTAATTGCCCTTCCCATTCCTGGGTTCATTTTAGGGGACCTTTCAGCTGCTCATTGACTTACAGATATTTACGTCCTGACTACCTCAATGTACAGGAACAGGCTGGAATGTGCTCATGTATGTTTGGGTGCAGAGTATTACAAACTGTCTGCATATGATTTTGTATATCATCCATCAATTCCAACACATTCATGCTGTTGGGTCTCATATGGACTATTAATGTCTTATCTTACATCTTCAAAAGGTGTGAAGTATTATAAGTAGTGCTTTTGCACATACCATCATTTTTAAACCCAAACGTATCCAACAATACTCTAGTGACTGAGTTGGATGGACACAGTTGCTTTTCCAACTTTGGATGGTGCAGATTTGTCCTTGACTGTTATGTAACTAAGTTAGTAAACACAGTCATTTCAACCTCATCAGGGGGCATGGGTGGCCCAGTCGCCTAAGGCACCGCGATTCGCTGTGCAGAGTTGCATCCCTTGCGCACGCCAGAAACCTATGTTTGTGGGTTCGAATCAATATCAATTATGTTTCTAGGTTTGTCAGCACTATACCCGTGCTTGTGGGTTTCACCTAAGTGGTAAACGTCTGAGACTTGCATCACTTTGGGCTTTCCTCCTACATTAAGCTGACACGCCGTGATATGACTGGAATAGTGTTAAAAGTGGCGTTAAACCCAACTCACTCACTCAACCTCATCATAATATCACTGTTTTGTAAAAATCAAGACAAAAGGATGTGATGATTGATGATATAATCTCATCCATTCCCATCCCAAAGATCAGCACATTGAGATGACAGAGTGGATATACCCTTAACAAGTATGTCTGTGTAGCTTCCATAACTTTTCCATAAGTCATGGGATGGGATTCAGCCGAATCCGAGGATGGAAGCCTTGTCAACATGACCAAAGACGTTAACCCCGTCAGCAAGCTGACAAGGTAAGGATGTCATTAACATTCTTGATTATCCAAAACATAATATCTCCGCTTCACAATGATACCCTGGACCTATTCGCTGCCATTGCTTCATTTTGGAAGTGAAATTCCCTGCTCCATCTCTAGTATTGCTAACTTAGCAACAACCAATCACATATTTCATCAAATGAGGAAACTTAAATGGAATATTTTAACTGGATGAAGACGTTTCCTGATCAGTACACAAGGCAAGATGAGCACTGGTTATATCGCAGCTGCCTTCAGTCATGAAGGAACAGTTTAATCTGATTGGATGTCTATTTGTGCCATCATGTCATTCGATCTGGACTCAAAACAAAGGATAGGTTGGCGATTAGGTCGTGGGTATTTATCGTAATAGAATGGAGATGAAACACCCTGGATAATGGAGGATGGCATGTCGTAACGTGTACTCACCAGAATCCTGCCAGTCGTGGTCTGCCCTGATATAAGTTCCCCTGCCCAGTCCTTGGCCTCAGTCATCCATCCGATCTCAGGGTCAGGGGTCTTGTTGAGTAGCATCCCCTGCTGACCCTGACCTTGAGCAGTGGGGGCTGCCTTCTGGTTCTGGGCAGATGGGGATCTGGACACAAGGGAAGTCAGAATCATTAGAACATTAAGTATAGTATGGGCCCCTAACACATTTCGTAACTCCTATTTAACACAGGATCATGACAGTCATAGCGCTAAGATTGCTTTGTGGAACAGCGCCATGGTCTTACATGATGCAGAATATTCATCCAATACACAATAGAAACAAAGAAATAAACAAGCAAAAATAGGTACATGCACCCAATGAAATGCATCAACAAAAACAATAAAAGTGCACATGTTATCAACTAAGGCATGCATTATTTGTTCTTTACATAATTCCTACTAACCACAATGAAAGTTAGCTATGGGCGATTCTCTGCTAAGGCCTGGGACCCTTAAACTGATAATGGTGAGCCTATATGGGACTCCCTAGATACCAGGTCAATCTCATTAAAATCAGATCTCTCTGCATGATTGGTTGGTTGGTTGGTTTGTTGTTTAACACCGCACTCAGCAATATTCCAGCTATATGACAACAGTCTGTAAATAATCGAGTCTGGACCAGACAATCCAGTGATTAATATCATGAGCATCGATCCACGCAATTGGGATCGATGACATGCAAGGTTGTGTCAGGTGAACCCTGAGCAAAATCTGGCCAACCAATCTAACTAAAGGATGAGTGAGTTCTTGAGCCAATCAGATGTCAGCTTTCTGAAACGATTTTGCTTTTGCTTTTCCACCTTGATTCAGAATTCCTGTGTACAGAAACATACCCTGTATAGTACACCCTTTTATGTCCTAGTGTTCAGACATGATGGGATGTATAAAATATCTGCAACAAAGTAACAGTACTCCTTTCGGGATACAGCAATTAGATATGTTCACTCACTCATACCATGAAGTCTGAAGCCTTGATGCTCATTAGCTAATTAGACAATTGACGACCCTCTGTGGAAGCGTCCTCAGATCTTCACCATGTTCACACAGAGACGTATCGTATTGAAATAAAAATTATGATTTTGAGATCGTTATCAGGCAAAAACACAGCCATGCATTATCTGATAGAAATGTTAATGGTAACAAAAGAAAGCATGAATGAATGGACAGAATTAACACTAGCTGAATCAGCTAAGTGACTGTTTTGTGTAGATTCTGCGTGAAAAGTTTGGTTGCTGTTTGTTTGTTGTTTAATGCCGCAATCAGCAATATTCCAGCTATATAACAGCGGTCTGTAAATAATTGAGTCTAGACTAGACAATCCAGTGATTGACATTATGAGCATACATCTACACAATTGGGATACGATGACATGCATCAACCATGTCAGCAAGCCTCACCACCCAATCCTGTTAGTCGCCTCTTACAACAAGCATAGTTGCCTCTTACAGCAAGTAGTGGCTTCTAAAGACCTATTCTCTACTCGGATCTTCACAGGTCCTTGGCCGCTGTAATACAGTGCCGTACTTTTAATACCATTCAATAACAGGACTGAAACCAAACATGTCTTTCAGTAATATTTTCCCTCTGTACCTCAGGGGTACCTCAATGCTATCAGAGTCGACCACTGTTGTTGTTTAAAGTCTATTAGTGTTATATCATATAACTATAGCTGTAATATTGTGAGCTACAAGTATTTAACTGTAATTTTGTGGATTTTGGCTAATAACTGCATTCACACCCTCACATATATTTTCAATTTGGAAGATACAAAATAAGTAAGTTCTTCAGGATTTGAACCCTAAATCAGCAGATCCTGGTATCGAAGGGACACCATTCCGACAACTCGGGTCCACTTTAATTGCATGCACAAAGCAGCATGGTGTCTCACACTATATCTGGTCTGTGATTGTGACATGTTGTGGCATGATATACATCATGGTACACATTTCATACACTCATCAACACTGACATATATCATGTGTATCATGGCCATTGGGGTAGCCTGGTGCTTAAAGCAGTGTTCGAAATAGACATCGGTCCATAGGCCGACAGATTTGTTCTTGGGCTGATATTTTTTTTAATTTCCGTAGGCCCTTACGACCTACAGTTTATTTAAGTAATTATTTATTAGGCATTTTTTAAGTAATGTGATAAACATATCTTTTATATTTATATTTTATATTTATAAACAGTTGGATCATGTTTGGATTAGAACTTTCAAATGAGTAGTCACAAAGAAGTTTTACAAGCTGATAACTTTCTGATAAAATTGGGCTTCAGGTATCCCCACAGAGCCTCTGGGAACTCGGCGTGATAACAGTAAAAACTTATGTTTGAGTTTCAGACACTGGGTTAAAGTGTTCACTCATCACACCGTTAGTCAGGGTTCAATTCCCCACATGGGTACAATGTGTGAAGCCCATTTCTGGTATCCACCCTCGTGATAGTGCTGGAATATTGCTAAAAGCCTATCTTACATACCGGTACTCATGCTGGTGAGCTACAAAGTAATTCCACAATACACTAACAGTACGAACACCGCGATATAACTGGAATACTGTTAAAAAGCGGCGTTAAACCCAACTCACTCTCTTTCAGTATGTGGCGAAGCCAACAGGGCATGAACAGTAACGACTGAATGGAATTTGATGTAAAGTGTCCAATTACCAACCGATAAAACTTGAGATTTTTGTATGTGACAAAACTCAGCATGCATGCACCGCCCACCACAGGCATCCATGATGCAATTACGTTTATAGGCCAGTATTGATAAACACACACACACCTGTGCAGTATATGGTCCACGCCACATGTGCTTATACCCTTACAATGCTTACAGATATAGCCACGATGTGTTACAATGTGGCCATTGTGTAAATGAATACATGGTAATTAATAAAATAGGCAATGCCTCGGAATTACAGCCAAATACTGAATCATATTATTCTTTGATTAAAATTTGACCCAAATAAATATCATTTACTGTTTAGGACAGACAAAAGAGCTCAGATAATTTGGATGTTTGGATTAAATACGCAAAATAGATTAAAATGACCCTGATAATTTGAGCTGCTTCATATAATATGCATGGAAAATTTAAAAACCCAGTAGTGTAACACTGTGCATAATTACCCAATGAAGCCTTCTCAGCTTGATAACCTGTATTTTTGTACAGATCTTAATTTACTGATTGAATGCTGTCAGGACATTTCTCCTGAACTCTACATCAATGCCACCTTAAACAGCATTCTTAGAGGAATAATACAAATAATTGGTTATTATGGGTTTACAAATATCCAATAGACTCGACCCATGGGAGGAAAACTGTTTTGAATATCCAGAGAAAACTATCAATATCCTATATGATTATAAGTAAATATTCAAAAACTCAAAATATCATCCGTACCCTGGGAGAATTCATGATACGAACATCTCAACTGAGAGATAATTATTATATTCACTTTCCATTTCATTTTGAATATTTGTTTTGTTTCATCTTTTAGTCATTTATGCTGATGAACATGATGAAAAGTGTGATAAGAATAATTAATCTCAATTACCATGGTTACTTCAACATATAAATAACAAAATATTAATATAATTTTGTTTGATAATGTGTCTTAACCAAAATGGAGTTTGTGAGTGAGGCTGAAGCTGTTTAAGTGATATACTAGTAACATCACAACAGGGCATGTTGTATGCATGTGGGCAATTGTATGGTACCTCAACTCCCATTTTGACAGACAGAACATATTATATAATATTTGTATTCATTCATGAAGTGCTTAACAAATGAAATACATTAAAAATACACTTTTTACATGTTTTCAGAATAAGATCGGGGCGGTGTGGTAGCCTAGTGATTAAAGCGTTCGCTTGTCCTGCTGAAGACCTGGGTTCGAAACCCCACATGGCCACAATGTGTGAACCCCATTTTCGGTTTCCCTGGTTGTGATATTGCTGGAATATAGCTAAAAGAGGCGTAAAACCATACTCACTCACTCACTCAGAGTAAGATCATGAAGATCATAAAGAAAATACATAATAAACAGAATATTTTTTTTCTTGTCAATTACATGATTTTCTCATCTTGTGACCTGACAAAATGTGGCCATTTTCATTTGTATTATTCATGAAAATATAATCCTTGTGAGGTTACGATAAAAATGTACAATCTCAGATGAATATCTGCCTCAGTTTGATTCTAGCAGCTTCAACAAAATGCCCATGACAAAAAGAGCATTAATTTGTTCTCAATTCAAAAAATCTACAAAGTCTATTTTTTTCAAATTTAGAGGTAATTAAGCATTAAATAATGATGCAAGATTAAGCTTTAAAGCCTTTACCTCTTTATTGATTTGTGTCCTCAGTAAAATACCAGTGACCTTTGCCATGTTTGCAAAGCGTAGTCATTAGGCACAATGATAATAATCACCGGAATGATTTGGGGAATTTAACATTGGCAATTTTTGCTGACATTTACTGTAGACAAGGGTCAAATTATCAGCTTAGATAAATCCCTACTAAGTGACAAGCAGATACATTAACCGCTAGGTCACCTTGATCTTCCTGTTGTTCATAGTTTAACAGCAATCAGCAATTTTACAGACACACAAGCAAGTGTGTTGTTTAACGCTGCACTCACCAACACTCCAGCCATATGATGGTGGCTTGTAAACAATCAAGTTTAGACCACAGAAACCAGTGATTGATATTATTTTAAATAAAAGTGCCAAAAAACATTTCCATAATCATAAGAAATGCTTTTAGCAGTCCATTGCACAAATCCAACTATATCATGACCATGTTTTTATGAATCACTATCAAATAGTGATGATACCAGGTACCAGCCATCACAAACACATGCAAAGGAAAGTCAATTGTTCACATGAAAGATCATGGGAACACATATGGTACATATTACATAAGCAATGTCTCACGTCGTTGGGGTACGAACAACAAGCATGACCACCCTATCTATTCTAGTTGTCTTATGACAAGCATAGGTTACTGAGGACATATTCTGACCCTTGTAATTATAACATGTTGGAAAATGATGACACCTGGGATGGTTGGGGTAACAGAAGCAAAACAACACATTATTATTTGAGTGAGTGAATGTTTGAAAGTTTGTTTGTTTGTTGTTTAAGGTCACAAAATTCTAGACATATGATGGAGATTTGTAAATAATCAAGTCTGGACCAATCCAGTGATTGTCATCAAGAGCATCAATCTATGCAATTGGGATACAATGATATGCATCAACCAAGTCTGCGAGTTTGACCACCTTATCCTGTTAGTCACCTCTTACGACAAGCATGGGTTGCTGAAGATCAATTCTAACCCGGATCTTCACGGGTTGAGAGAGTGGATTGAGTTGGGTTTATATCTGCTTTGAACACAATTAATATTACTCTACATGGTATATATGACAGCCTCAGTGGTCCAGTGCATAGAGCATCTGCCAGTTCAATCCCCGGCCGCATCATACGTAAACACAAGATGGTACTTCTTGTTACTCTGTCTGGCCCTTGGCATTAAGGAGCTAACACAAGGACTGGTCGGCTCGGAGTCAGTATTCGGTGTCTGAGTGGGGTATTCATGTTAATCTGTGCTATGGTATCTCAGTGGGCTAGCACTATAAAACCATCATTAGTCGAGACTAGTACAAACAGCCACACATACATACACACAATGCTATATAATAAGCGCAATGATCATGAACATGACGTTTTACACCATTTCACCTCACCTCCCATAGACACACACCAACAATCGGGATTTGTCCGAAAAGGCAACTAACAGGATCGGGTGGTCAGGCTCGCTGACTTGGTTGATGCATGTCATCGATCCCAATTACATGGATCGATGCTCATGATGTTAATCACTGGATTATCTGATCCAGACTTGATTATTTCAGACTGCCGTCATATAGCTGGAATATTGCTGTGTGCGGCGTTAAACAACAAATAAACAAATGAACCCACAAAAGCAGATCCTGGAATGGCTAAGGGGTGCAATTCTGCATGTCATTTTATACCACTGGACCATCCATGTCCCCCATTTATTACTAGAAACTGGAACTAGTATAAAGACAGTGAACCACCTTCACATCAAAATTGAATGTTTCAACAGGATTATTTCACAAGGTTTTTGACAACGAACAGCAGTAACAGCTCCAACTTCACACTGTGGCCATTTCAATAGCTAACACTGTCAGCAACATGTACAATGCCAACACTCATACAATCTGGTAATGATTTCAATACAGACATTGTTGTATCTGTCAGATACCACATCCATCAACATGATCAAACATATGTACAATGAAGGGACTTTTCTCCTACCATGTTTATCATGCACACTAATTGTGGCCAGATCCTTCATTTAATAGACTTCACCATTCACAAAAGGCGCAGTTCATCACAGAAATAGCAAAACGTATGTCAACACAGTTATCAGTGTGTCGTGGGTGGAAAGTATGCCAATTAATAACATACAATCTTAAAAATTAGGGAATACTGGAAATGAACCAGATAAAGAGAAAGCACAGGTAAGACTTCCGCCTGTATCCCCCTCTAAAAATATATCATGATATATACGGATGGAAGAAACACGCTATATGTAAATATATATAACTTTTGGAGGGGGGATATGGGCAGAAGTATTTTCAAAGTACATTGCACATGTATAAGGTTTATGTCATAGAATAGCACCATCATATTCATGATATTGGCATGATATCATGGATATTGCCGACTAACAAGTAAATAAACATGTCAAAGAAAAGAAATGCTTTGGAAAACATATTATATAAATGTGGTGATATTCAAAGATAACTATTCATAGATAGATGGGTTTGGAATAAAAATATTGGGTTGTATTGATATTTCATAAATGTACCAAAACAAATCCACACGAATGCACATGCATTGCGTAACATATTTTTTTCTACAGGAAACAAATCTATGTTGTTTTACACAATTTTACAAAATTATCTGTGACATAAACATATTAATATTTGTGAAAGTCATTGTAGTTACTCCAGATACTGGAGCCTAAACATGACAAAATATTTTTTTTCAAATGATACAAGGGATTATTATCTAATGTATCTGTATAACCATTGAAATTCTAGATTTCCAATAAATGATTAAAATGCTCAGTTCGTGTTGATAATGATGTAATTTGTTGATTAAAGACCAAATAACATTGGTCAAATTTAATACATCAAACTTGAAAATACCCCATAATTTTTTATATTACTTATAGAAATTTAAACATTCATTACATAGGCGGATGCAGAGGGAGGGGGGATCCTCACTTGTGTGATAAATACATTGGCATGTGATAAAGGCGAGTTAAAAGTATAGATGAAGAAAATAGATGAAATATTACAAAAACAAAAGCATGACTGAGAGAAAGAAGATGATTGATCAATGGACACTGACATGTAAGTTTGGTCAGAAGAGATGGATGTTAGGGTACATTCTACACAACCACGTCACATCACAACAAATGGCGTGCAGATGGACAGTGAGTTAGACTTACGGACAGACTGACCTGTACGACACCGGGGCATGTTTTCGTTTGCCACAACACAGCCAGGCTATTAATCTCCAACACAATATCACCACCAAACCCAAGCCGAATGTCACCAAGCTGGACGCCAGGAAAGCATACCACATACGATCGTTATCCGAGCATGATTGGGAGGAAGAATTGTTGGCACTCATTTTGGGGGGCCACAATACTCCTCAAGAAATACACATAGGGGCCTATACCCAATCGGCAACTTCTTCCATGTCCCGATCACTCGCTAGTGACGAGGCGACGACGATTTCTCTCACAACCCGCCACAATTCGATGAGCCACTTTCACCGTCAATATCTAATAAAATCACTCATGCGTAGAGCCAAGGGGCTCAATATATGACTGTTGCAACTGTATATATATGCTAATGAGGAAGTATACGTCGCGAAATCCACGGATCGTAAGGTATTCACAAGTCTTCTGGCGGATACCTGCACGTGTTTAGCCTCGATGAAACTGAACCATTACATTGCGCGGTCTGATCAACTGGTGGCACCAATAACGTCAGCATATCGTCTCACTCCTTCACACAAAGACATCGTCTACGGTACATATTCCATCTCCGGAGTGTCGTGAATCTTGTGACCCACCTCTGTTGCCACAGTATGGAACTAGCGTCTGAATAGATGCTAGCAGTTCCCAGAATAGAGATGCGAAAAGCGATACCGCGCAGCGATGGCTGTAGGTAGCACAATCGATGCTAGTTACTCCGGCAACAAACCAGATGCTGACTGGCTGGCTGCCATTGAGGCCTTATTCAACACTCTTCATACAAATATACATAACATTTAAGACCAAGGAACTGGAATTATGGCGGGAAGAAATACGCGTTACACATTTATTAGCTCTTGGAAACAAGTAGAGATCTACACTACACTGCACATATATCAGAATGTGATCAAATGGTCGTGACCTTTGTTTATCGCAATAGAAGCAGAGTTAATTCAATCGAACGCTTAGAAATCACACGCGACTGATACATTGTGTAAACGCAATCGGTCGTGACAAATTGGCTTGATTAATTTAATGTAATAATACTCGAAGTAGCTGCCACTAGAGAGATAAAGGAATTACACACACCCTCGTTCGAATCTACATGTCGTCGAATTCCATCAAATGCCCTCACCAGTTGCCGATAAATTGTTCTGATTGCGAAAGTTTGCTCACTTTAAATAACTAAAATTAATCATTTGGACGTGTTATCTTATTTTTTAGACCCTTGGTGTGGTATTAACAAATAATTGACTAATGCCTAATAATTATTAATACATTTCTTTGGTTTAAGATGGGCGTTGGGGAAGTCATGTGGTTAAGACATCCGCTCGTCACACGGCAGGCCCGTGTTCTATTCCCGACATGGGTATTATGCGTGAAACCAATTTCTGGCGTCCACCGCTGGTATTTCTAAAAATGGCGTAAAATCCAAATCCGCAAACAACAACAACACACACCCCCCCCCCCCCCCCCCCCCCCCATATCCATCGAGAATGATAAATGAATATCTAATAGGGGTTTAATGCCATTTTGGACATCATTTTAGTCTTTTTTTTATTAAAGCCCTGTCTGACGTGGTACATGCTTAAGGTATTTTAAATGTCTCATATGCTATTCATGGCTAAACTGGTACACCAATCAGTGTGTATTCTTTCAAAAATAAACACAATAATTTCCCCAAAAAATTTAAACACATTACATAAAAAAGAAATACAGAATTTAATTTTATATTTTGCCCCTCATGTTACCGAACCTATGCCATTTCAGAAATAAACAAAAAATAATTGACCAGTTTCATTTTAGGTTACTTCGCCCATCGGCCGTTTTTGAGATTCAGAATCCGTAAACCAATTATTAGTTGATCGATTGTTTGTTGTTTAACACCGCACAGCAATATTTCAGCTATATGACGGCGGTCTGCAAACAATCCAGTCAGGACCAGCTATTCCAGTGATTGACATGATCATCGATCCACGCAATTGGGATACGATGACATGCATAAACCAAGTCGGCGAGCCAGACCACCCGATCCCGTTAGTCGCCTCTAACGACAAGCAAAACTACCCTACCGGGCCCAAATGACTCCCCTTGTTTTGAATTAAAATGATTACAGAAAAGATCAAAGATATCTTGTATTATAAAGGTTTTCAATCCATCTTCCTCATTTTCTATTCTGAAATGAAAGTTAAAGAACAATCCCCAATATTGTGTGTCAGATGTTTTAGTCCCAGTTATTTTAATTCAGTTATATATTTAACTTTAATTGGAAGGACTCCAGGTGCCTCTCTTAAATCACTATACTTTTCTTAACCAATCATTTATTTTGAGAATACTCCCTGTGTTCTACATCCAATTCTTGAGTATCAGGCTCAAACTACCCCCCCCCCCCCCCCCCCCCCCCCCCCCCATATTCTATATCCGATTCTTTGATATCAGGCTCAAACTACTCCCCCTGTTCTATATCCGATTCTTGAGTATCAGGTTCAAACTTCTCCCCCTGTTCTATATCCGATTCTTGAGTATCAGGCTCAAACTACTCCCCCTATTCCAAATGAAATGTTTAATATCAGGCACAAACTATTCCCCCTATTCTATATCCGATTCTTTCATATCAGGCTCAAACTACTCCCTCTATTCTATATCCGATTCTTTGATATCAGGCTCAAACTACTCCCCCTATTCTATATCCGATTCTTTTATATCAGGCTCAAACTACTCCCCCTAATCTATATCCGATTCTTTTATATCAGGCTCAAACTACTCCCCCTATTCTATATCCGATTCTTGAGTATCAGGATCAAGCTACTCCCCCTATTCTATATCCGATTCTTTGAAATCAGGCTCAAACTACTCCCCCTATTCTATATCCGATTCTTTTATATCAGGCTCAAACTACTCCCCCTATTCTATATCCGATTCTTTTATATCAGGCTCAAACTACTCTCCCTATTCTATATCCGATTCTTGAGTATCAGGATCAAGCTACTCCCCCTATTCTTTATCCGATTCTTTCATATCAGGCTCAAACTACTCCCCCTATTCTATATCCGATTCTTTTATATCAGGCTCAAACTACTCCCCCTAATCTATATCCGATTCTTTTATATCAGGCTCAAACTACTCCCCCTATTCTATATCCGATTCTTGAGTATCAGGATCAAGCTACTCCCCCTATTCTATATCCGATTCTTTGAAATCAGGCTCAAACTACTCCCCCTATTCTATATCCGATTCTTTGATATCAGGCTCAAACTACTCCCCTATTCTATATCCGATTCTTTTATATCAGGCTCAAACTACTCCCCCTGTTCTATATCCGATTCTTGAGTATCAGGTTCAAACTTCTCCCCCTGTTCTATATCCGATTCTTGAGTATCAGGCTCAAACTACTCCCCCTATTCCAAATGAAATGTTTAATATCAGGCACAAACTATTCCCCCTATTCTATATCCGATTCTTTCATATCAGGCTCAAACTACTCCCTCTATTCTATATCCGATTCTTTGATATCAGGCTCAAACTACTCCCCCTATTCTATATCCGATTCTTTTATATCAGGCTCAAACTACTCCCCCTAATCTATATCCGATTCTTTCATATCAGGCTCAAACTACTCCCCCTATTCTATATCCGATTCTTGAGTATCAGGATCAAGCTACTCCCCCTATTCTATATCCGATTCTTTGAAATCAGGCTCAAACTACTCCCCTATTCTATATCCGATTCTTTTATATCAGGCTCAAACTACTCCCCCTATTCTATATCCGATTCTTTGATATCAGGCTCAAACTACTCCCCTATTCTATATCCGATTCTTTTATATCAGGCTCAAACTACTCTCCCTATTCTATATCCGATTCTTGAGTATCAGGATCAAGCTACTCCCCCTATTCTTTATCCGATTCTTTCATATCAGGCTCAAACTACTCCCCCTATTCTATATCCGATTCTTTCATATCAGGCTCAAACTACTCCCCCTATTCTATAGCCGATTCTGTTATACCAGGCTCAAACTATCCCCCCAGGTCCTGGCCTGATGGTGTGTCATCGTATAAACCAACTATTAAAAAAGAAGGTCCTGGCCTGATGGTGCGTCATCGTATAAACCAACTATTAAAAAAGAAGGTCCTGGCCTGATTGTGTGTCATAGTATAAACCAACTATTAACAAAGAATGTCCGTGCCTGATGGTGCGTCATCGTATAAACCAACTATTAAAAAAGAAGGACCTTGCCTGATGGTGTGTCATCGTATAAACCAACTATTAAAAAAGAAGGACCTTGCCTGATGGTGTGTCATCGTATAAACCAACTATTAAAAAAGAAGGTCCTGGCCTGATGGTGTGTCATCGTATAAACCAACTATTAAAAAAGAAGGACCTGGCCTGATGGTGTGTCATCGTATAAACCAACTATTAAAAAAGAAGGACCTGGACTTATGGTGTGTCATCGTATAAACCAACTATTAAAAAAGAAGGACCTGGACTTATGGTGTGTCATCGTATAAACCAACTATTAAAAAAGAAGGTCCTGGCCTGATGGTGTGTCATCGTATAAACCAACTATTAAAAAAGAAGGACCTGGCCTGATGGTATGTCATCGTATAAACCAACTATTAAAAAAGAAGGTCCTGGCCTGATTGTGTGTCGTGTGTCATCGTATAAACCAACTATCAAAAAGAAGGACCTGGACTGATGGTGTGTCATCGTTCCCCGACAGCGATTATCGTTGTTCATCTATCCTTGTCCAAGCTCGATTATGTACATACCGTTGTGAGATAGTTAGGAAATTAAGGCGTAAAACAATATTCATCTCTCACAAATATGTTACATCCATTCATTTGAAGATTTAGAAAATTGGACGATTTTCCGAGGTGGACTTCTTACAAAATACTAAGACCTAATGTAAGAAAATACTTTATTTTGAACATTTAAAAGTATTGTTAGGGTCGTTCAGTCCCTTCAAATTAAACTCCCTGGTTCAATGCTCATTGCGTGAAGGAATTTACTTTGAGTGGTGCACGAGAGCAAAACACTGTTTGTCGCTATTTGTTGACAGTTGATAATACGTGTTTCCAGCTTAATGACTGCGGTGTTTGTTCGTTTTTATCTGGTTGCTAACAACACACCAAGGTCGGCTGAGATGCTGCTCTTCTGGTTGTCTGTTTCCCAGTCCCTGAACCATGTCGTTTTCCTCTCCGCCCATCCCTTACTATAATCCAATAGCTCCAAATGAATCAAGACTAGATTTTCGACAGGTTTTGAATATCCCAACCTACTGGGTCTCCTTTTCAGTTTACATGTAGTTGCTTGTGTCTATCAAAATTATATATTCCATTCTTAGTCTGGTAGTCTATTCTTCTGGTGTCGAGAGTATGAAGTCATCCTTCTCAGGTTGCAGGATCTCTGACAGATGCATGTACATACTTCTGGTTCCTATGGTTGGGACATTGATTACTGAAAAAAAAAAAAAATCGATTTTTTTCATAGATTTTTTTAATCTACGACGCAATCAGCAAACCCCAAGCTACATGACGGCGGCCTGCAGAGAGCGGAGTCTGTGTCACGCAAAACAGTGGCTGGTGATCCATATTTTAGGCTGTTCTTTTCACGATCATAGCTAGGAGCTGGAGACCTATTCTGACCTGGATTCCCAACAAGGGACTGAAATTTAGTGTGTTTAAATTCAACTTTAAGTGAGCGAGTTTGGTTTAACG